AATGGGAAGGCTGGGACGGAGCCATGCGGGAAGTGACGCCTGGGGAGCGCTGCGGGCGCGTTTGGCACGGGAAGGGCCCGGCCTGGCAGCCGCGGCGGCCGAGAAATGGAAGCGCTGGGGGGGCTCAGACGGGGCTGGGGCTGGCAAAGCCCCCACGGGACACCCAGCCCCCCCGCGGGCCGCCCGGCAGGGCTGCTGCAGGAAGAGGCTGTGCTGGGGGGGAAAGAAGGGGATGGGAGCCCCCCAGGAGTGACCCCTGATGTCTGTGACCCCCCAGTGCCTGTGACCCCTGATATCTGTGACCCCCGATGTCTGTTATCCCCCCAATGTCTGTGATCCCCCGTTATCTGTGACCCCCCAGTGCCTGTGACCCCTGATATCTGTGACCACCCCCATGTCTGTGACCCCCCAATGTCTGTGACCCCCGATATCTGTGACCCCCCAATGTCTGTGACCCCCCCATTATCTGTGACCCCCGTTATCTGTGACCCCCCCCCGGTCCCTCCCTGCCCACCCCTGCCCTCATTCCCGGCCGAGGGGCCCCGCGCTGTCCCCCCCGTCCCCGCGGGGCTCTGCCCGAGGCGCAGGAGGCAGCGGGGGCTCCCTGACCCCGGGCCGGCTCCGGCTCCACAAAGCCCCGGATTGTTCCCCCCGGCGGCCGCGGCTGCCCCTGCGAGACACAGGAAAACGGGGGGAGGCGTTTCCAGGGATTCCTGCGGGCCCCGGGATGCTCCGGGCGGATCCTGTGCCCCGAAGGGCTGCGCATCCTGGGGGGGCCACAGCATCCCCCATCCCATGGATCCCATGGATCCCATCCATCCCATTATCCCATCACACTCCATCCATCCCATCCCATGAATCCCATCCCATCTCACTGATCCCATCCCATCCCAACCCATCCCATCCCAAGGATCTGTCCCGGGGAGGGCAGGATTTATCCCAAGAAGGGAAGGATCTGTCCCGGGGAGGGCAGGATTTATCCCAAGAAGGGAAGGATCTGTCCCGGGGAGGGCAGGATTTATCCCAAGAAGGGAAGGATCTGTCCCGGGGAGGGCAGGATTTATCCCAAGAAGGGAAGGATCTGTCCCGGGGAGGGCAGGATTTATCCCAAGAAGGGAAGGATCTGTCCCGGGGAGGGCAGGATTTATCCCAAGAAGGGAAGGATCTGTCCCGGGGAGGGCAGGATTTATCCCAAGAAGGGAAGGATCTGTCCCGGGGAGGGCAGGATTTATCCCAAGAAGGGAAGGATCTGTCCCGGGGAGGGCAGGATTTATCCCAAGAAGGGAAGGATCTGTCCCGGGGAGGGCAGGATTTATCTGGGGAAGGCAGGATTTATCCGTGGAGAGTAAGATTTGTCCCAGAGTGGGAATGAATGTGGGGATTTGCGGGATTTGGGAGGATTTTGAGGGACTTTGGGGGCCCCCCCTCCAGGCCGGCTTTCCCAGCCCCTGTCCCCCCCTCTCTCCCCCTCCGGGGCATTAAACCCGAGCCCAGTTGGGAAGGAAATGGAAACCCGCGCAGTCCCAGAGCCCGCGGCCGGGCAGGGTCAGAGGTTCGGGCGCTGATGCAGGGATCGGGTCAGGATTCATTAACTCCCTTTTAATTGCAGCCCTTTCTGGGGACGCCGTTTCACCTGCGCGGGGACAGCGGCAGCCGGGAGGGTGGCACCGGCGCCTCCCGCGGTGTCCCCGCGCCCCGGGGATGTCCCCAACCCGCCGGGATCGCCTCTTGGTGCCCAGACCCCTCCGCTCCGCAAATTCCCTGCGAGCCCGAGGAAGAGGAGGATGGGGAAAGGTGGGAACCGGAGGGGCTGCGGTTGGGGAATGCGGGCTTTGGGGGGGGATGGGGGATTTGGGGGGGGCTGCCCTTTTCCCTGGCCCGACCCCAATTTCCTTGGAGCTGACAATTCCCAGCCCCCGGAGCCTTCCCGGATAACGCGGCCGGTTGCAGCCGGCGGGGGAAAGCCGGTTAAGTGCCGGTGGCACCGGGGAGAAGCCAGAAGCCCCGGCGGGGAGCCGGGCTGGCAGGAGGGCCGCTCCCGCTCCCGTTCCCGGTCCCGTTCCCCTTCCCGTTCCCGGTCCCGGTCCCGGTCCCGTTCCCGTTCCCGTTCCCGTTCCCGGTCCCGTTCCCGTTCCCCTTCCCGGTCCCGGTCCCGGTCCCGGTCCCGGTCCCGGTCCCGGTCCCGGTCCCGGTCCCGGTCCCGGTCCCGGTCCCGGTCCCGGTCCCGGTCCCGGTCCCGGTCCCGGTCCCGGTCCCGGTCCCACCGCCCAGCCCGGCACGGGGGGCTCAGCTCGGGGCTGCACCCCGGGTCGCTGTCACTCCCTGGTGACATCGGCGACAATCCCGCCGCTCCCCAAACCCTCCGCGATCTGCCGCCCCCACACCGGGGCTGCGCGGGGGTCCCGGTGCCCACCCGGGGGGGGATTTTTGGAGCTGTCTGGGCGGAAGGCGGGCTGGGTTTTAAAGCAGATTAATTAAGCTGCACTGCGGGGCCGCGCGGACAGAGTTCAGAATGCAAACAGCCCTAATTCGATTTCTCTGACTTGCAAATCGCGGCAGGGAACTCGGCCGAAATCACATTAAGGCCGTTTCCACTCCGAGCCGTGTCCTCGCAGGGCTTTAATGCAGTTTCGCTAATTGAATTTGAACGCTTATTGAGCTTAATTCGGGTTTGTGCCGGGCGTGGGGCTGGGCTGGGACCCCCCGGGCTCGGCTGAGACCCCCGGGCTGGACTGGGACCCCCGGGAAGGGCTAGGACCCCTGAGAAGGGCCAGGACCCCCGGGAAGGGCTGGGCTGAGACCCCCGGGAAGGGCTGGGACCCCCGGGAAGGGCCGGGACCCCCGGGAAGGGCTGAGACCCCCAGGAAGGGCCGGGACCCCCCTGGGCTGGGACCCCCGGGAAGGGCCAGGATCCCCCTGGGCTGCTCTGGGACCCCCCCCGGGAAGGGCCAGGACCCCCGAAGGACGGGATGGGTGGGAGTGGGCTCAGCGCCAGCCCCACACTGGATTTGGGGTGGAAAAACCCCAAATCCCGCCACCCCCCCCGTGCGTCCCCGCGGGTCCCCCCCGGCCCCGGCGCTTTCGTGCCTGGAGTTTCGGGAGCGGGGGGAGGAGAAGAGAACGCGCTTTGTTCCCAGCCCGGGGGGGACAATGAGCCCTTCTGAGCCCGCGCTGCCGCCAGGAAATGTCCCCCAAAACGGGACCGGGGGCTCGCGGGGGGCTCGGGGAGGGGCCCGGAGCTGGTTCGGGGTGCTGTCACCCGATAATGGGGTTCCAGAGCTGGTTCGGGGTGCTGTCACCCGATAATGGGGTTCCAGCGCTGGTTCGCTGATCCCGTGGGAACGGGAATGGGAACGGGAACGGGGATGGGAATGGGGATGGGGTTGGGAATGGGGATGGGAATGGGAATGGGGATGGGAATGGGGAATGGGGATGGGAATGGGGATGGGAACGGGAACGGGGATGGGAATGGGGATGGGGTTGGGAATGGGGATGGGAATGGGAATGGGGATGGGAATGGATTGGGAATGGGGATGGGATTGGGAAGGGATTGGGAATGGGAATGGGGATGGGGATGGGAAACAGAATAGGAGTGGAAACGGGAATTCAGAATGGGGATGGGAATGGGGATGGGAATGGGGAGAGCTCATCCAGCATGGGAACAGGAACAGGAACGGGAATGGGAATTGGAGTAGGAATGGGAAATTGGGATGGGAACAGGCAACATGAATCGGGCACGAGCGAGGAGCAGAGCTCAGGGGGTGCAAATCCCGATCCACAAATCCCAGATTTAATGGGATTTTCCCTCCCGGATCCCGCATCCAAAGGGGTCACCCGGCGGCGGAACGCGGCGCGGGGCTGGGGTGGGGTTTTTTCCCTTTTCCCCCCGTTTTTCGGGATTCCCGGAGCCAAAGGGAGAGCGCTGCTTCCCTCTAGCGGCTCCGGGACGGGAGGGGACAGGACGGGAATGTCCCCGCCGCTCCAGGGACAGGGGGACGTTAAATCCCGGTGTCACGGCCCAGGAAAGACAAGGAGCTGCTGGAGAGGGCGCGAGGGAGCCACAAAAATGATTTGGGGTCGGGAGCAGCTCGGGTGAGGAGAGAGAGGGAGCCGGGCCTCGGTAGACTGGAGGAGGGAAGGCTGAGAGAGGAAATATCCCACATTTCTGTGGAAATATCTGAAACATCCACAGGAATCTGTCACTGCAGAGGGGATCCCGTCAGTGCATGGGAAAAAAATCTGAAATATCCATGGAAATATCTCAAATATCCAGGGAAATCTGTCACTGGAGAGATTCCCACTAATGCATGGAAATATCTCAGGTATCCGTGGAAATCTCTTATTTCAGAGAAGGGATCCCACCAGTGCATGGAAATGTCTCAGGTATCCGTGGAAATCTCTCGTTTTGGGAAAGGGATCCCACCAGTGCATGGAAATATCTCAGGTACCCGTGGAAATCTCTCGTTTTGATCCCACCAAGGCACGGAAACTCCTCCAGGAGGTGTCAGGCTCTGCTCAGCGGTGCCAGGACGAGGAGCAGTGCCCAGAAATTATCCACAAGTCCCACCTCGGCCGGAGGGAGAGCTGCCCATGGAGGGTGGCCGGGACAGGTGGCCAGGAAGGGGCTGGGGTCCCTCCGGACGTTCTGTGTCCCACCGTGTCACCCGCTCCCGGTGACCCTGCCTGGGCAGGTGACCCTGCCTGTGTGACCTTCAGAGGTCCCTGAGGTCCCACGGGGGCGGGCAGTGCTGCCCCCGCCCGTGTCCCTTGTCCCGTATCCCTTGTCCCGTGTCCCCCACGTGTCCCTTGTCCCGTGTCCCCCGCGTGTCCCTTGTCCCGTGTCCCCCACGTGTCCCTTGTCCCCGCACGCCCCCCACGTGCCTTCCCCCGCCGGGACTACATCTCCCAAGAGCCCTAGCGCGCAGTGCGCCGCCCCAGCCAATAGCGCTCGGCCTTGCTCAGCCAGCGGGCCGCCGCGGGGTACACCGGAATCTATAGGCGGGCACGCAGCGGGCGCGGCAGCTGAGAACTACATATCCCAGAGAGCCACGGGAGGCGCGGGCCAATGAGGAGCGCGCGTCTTGGCGCGGCGCACAGGCGCGCTGGGGAGGGGGGCGGCCGCGGATTCATGTGGAGGTCAGCGGCGCGGCGGGAGCGGCGGGCGGGAGGGCGGCGGTGGGTCCGGGAACCGGGGAACCGAGCCGAGCCGCGGTCTGAGGGGGGCGGGCAGGGGGGACACAGCGAGGCCTTGGCCCCTGGGGTGCCCGTGCTGGGGGCGAGCGGCCTAGGAGGGAGCGGGGAGGGGAGGCCTGAGGGGCGTGCGGGGCCGGGGTGCGGGGGAGGCCCGAGCGCTGCGGGGTCCGGGCCCGGGGACGGTCACGGGAGGGAGAGCCCGGGGCCGAGGTGTCTGTGGGGCACAAGGAGCCCCCGGTGCGGCTCGGGGCCCTGGGCAGGGGTCGCTGGCCGGTTGGGGCCCCGGGCAGGGGTCGGTGCCCCGGCCGTGCCCGGTGAGGTCTGAGCGATGTGCGGATCCGCAGGAGCGCTCTGGAGCGGGGGCTGCGGCTGGAGCGCTGAGATGGCTGCCAAGGTGTTCGAGAGCATCGGGAAGCTCGGCCTGGGCTTGGCCGTGGCCGGGGGCGTCGTCAACTCCGCTCTCTACAACGGTGAGGGGGAGCGCTGGGCGCCCCGACCGCTGCGGGTTGTGTGTCTGTGCAAATCCTGCCTTCTCCGGGCTTTTGCTGCCCAGTGAAAGCAGACCGAGGGCTGTGAGCTCCTGTCTCCCACAGTCACGGAGCTGCTCTGTGAGGAGCAGGCTGGGGGGCCCTGGAGCCCCTCCTGCAGCTCCTCTTCGCTGTTAATTAAGCCGTGCTGTTAATTAAGCGGCAGCAGCGGCCTCCCTGAGCGCTCTTTCCCCCCGCAGTGGACGCAGGGCACAGGGCTGTGATCTTCGACCGCTTCCGGGGGGTGCAGGACGTGGTGGTGGGCGAGGGCACCCACTTTTTGATCCCCTGGGTGCAGAAACCCATCATCTTCGACTGCCGCTCGCGGCCCCGCAACGTCCCCGTCATCACCGGCAGCAAAGGTGGGTCTGGGGGCTCCGGGGGCGTGGGTTTGTCCTTCTGCACCGGCAACTGTGCAGGCCGTGGAGCAGGGGCCAGAAACTGAGCAAGGTCACCTCAGTGTGAGGTGAGGGTGGCCAGGAAGGGCCTGGAGTGTCCCTGTGTGGGCCCAGAGACCCCAGCCCCAGCTGTGCCCCCTGCCCTGGCCGGGGCATGGCCAGAGGTCCCTCCCAGCCCCAGCTGCTGCTGGAACAGTCAGGAGTGGTTTGGGCTCTTTAATAAAGAACAGCTCCAGGAGCTTTTTGGTCCCAAATATTCAGGGTTGGAAGGGGCCTCTGGAGAGCCTCCTGCCCAAACATCCCCCAGTGTGGTGATCCCACTCGTGCCAGTGTGACACGGGAATGGTTTCAGGTTTTTAATAAAGGACATAAAGAGCTCCTCTTTAGGTCCCAAATATTTGGGGCTGCAATGGACCTCTGGAGATCCTCCTGTCCCAAATGTTCCCTGGCTCTGGAGATCCCATGAGTCCCAGTGTGACACGGGAATGGTTTGGTGTCTTTGACCAAAGAACTCTTCCTCTGGTGAATCACCAAATCCTGCCCAGCTGTGCCCCCTGCCCTGGCCGGGGCATGGCCAGAGGTCCCTCCCAGCCCCAGCTGCTGCTGGAACAGTCAGGAGTGGTTTGGGCTCTTTAATAAAGAACAGCTCCAGGAGCTTTTTGGTCCCAAATATTCAGGGTTGGAAGGGGCCTCTGGAGATCCTCCTGCCCAAACATCCCCCAGTGTGGTGATCCCACTCGTGCCAGTGTGACACGGGAATGGTTTCAGGTTTTTAATAAAGGACATAAAGAGCTCCTCTTTAGGTCCCAAATATTTGGGGCTGCAATGGACCTCTGGAGATCCTCCTGTCCCAAATGTTCCCTGGCTCTGGAGATCCCATGAGTCCCAGTGTGACACGGGAATGGTTTGGTGTCTTTGACCAAAGAACTCTTCCTCTGGTGAATCACCAAATCCTGAGCAGCTGGGGCTGGGAGGGACCTCTGGAGCTCACCTGGGGCAGGTGACACTGGTGGGGCTGGGATTGTCCCTCTGGAGCTCCCCTGGGGCAGGTGACACTGGTGGGGTCAGGATTGTCCCTCTGGAGCTCACCTGGGGCAGGTGACACTGCTGGGGTCGGGATTCTCCCTCTAGAGCAACACAGAGCAGGACCCCAAAGGGGAGCAGGACAGCAAAACCAGCTCATTTTTCATGGCAAAGCGCAGCTAGGGAGTTTGCTGGGGAGCTCCCCCTGCTCCTGTGCAGCCCCGGGGGCTCGGGGCAGCTCCTGTGCAGCCCCGGGGGCTCGGGGCAGCTCCCTGAGGGCGGCGCTGCTCCTGTGCAGACCTGCAGAACGTGAACATCACGCTGCGGATCCTGTTCCGGCCCGTGACGGCGCAGCTGCCGCGCATCTTCACCAGCATCGGCGAGGACTACGACGAGCGCGTGCTGCCCTCCATCACCACCGAGATCCTCAAGTCCGTGGTGGTGAGCGCGCCCTGGGCTGCTGGGCTCTCCTGGCAGGGACTGGGGAACGTGGTGTGCCCTGGAATTGCGGAGTTCCAGCCTGATTTGGGTGGGAGGCGCCTGGAAGCTGGTCCAGCTCCAGCCCTGCCGTGGGCTCCCAGCCCCATCCAGCCTGGCGTGGATGCCTCAGTGGGGACTCCAGACCTCCCTGGGAGGGCCTTTCCATGGGACAATTCCTGCTGCTGTCCTCGCTGGTGCAGCCTGGGGCTGTGTCCAGTCACTACCCACTCCCAGCAGTGCCCATCCCGTTCCCAGCACTGTCCATCCCGTTCCATCCCCTTCTCAGCAGTGTCCATCCCATTCCCATCCCTGTCCATCCCGTTCCATCCCCTTCTCAGCAGTGCCCATCCCATTCCCATCCCTGTCCGTCCCGTTCCATCCCCTTCTCAGCAGTGCCCATCCCGTTCCCATCCCTGTCCATCCCATTCTCAGCAGTGTCCATCCCATTCCCAGCGGTGTTCATCCCGTTCCATCCTGCTCCCAGTGGTGTCTGTCCCATCCCCAGCGGTGTCCATCCTGTTCCCAGCAGCATCCATCCTGTTCCAGCTGTTCCCAGCGGTGTCTGTCCCGTTCCCAGCAGTGTCCATTGTGTTCCATTGACCTCCCTGGGAGGGCCTTTCCATGGGACAATTCCTGCTGCTGTCCTCGCTGGTGCAGCCTGGGGCTGTGTCCAGTCACTACCCACTCCCAGCAGTGCCCATCCCGTTCCCAGCACTGTCCATCCCGTTCCATCCCCTTCTCAGCAGTGCCCATCCCATTCCCATCCCTGTCCATCCAGTTCCATCCCACTCCCAGCAGTGTCCATCCTGTTCCCAGCGGTGTTCATCCCGTTCCATCCTGCTCCCAGTGGTGTCTGTCCCATCCCCAGCGGTGTCCATCCTGTTCCCAGCAGCATCCATCCTGTTCCAGCTGTTCCCAGCGGTGTCTGTCCCGTTCCCAGCAGTGTCCATTGTGTTCCATTCCATCCCATTCCCACCAGTGTCCATTTCATTCCATGCCATTCCCAGCAGTGCCTGTCCCATTCCATCCCGTTCCACGTTGTTCCCTGCCGTTCCTGCCGTTCCCAGCACTGTCCATCCAGTGCCATCCCATTGGCAGCAGTGTCCATCCTGTTCCGTGCCGTTCCCAGCAGTGTCCATCCCATTCCATCCTGTTCTGTGCCATTCCCAGCATTGCCTATCCCGTTCCCTGCTGTTCCCTGCCATTCCCAGTAGCGTCCATCCCATTCCATGCCATTCCCAGCAGTGTCCCTGCCATTCCCTAACCATCCCACGCCATTCCATGCCATTCCCAGCAGCATCCATCCCATTCCATCCCGCTCCGTGCCGTTCCCAGCAGCATCCATCCCATTCCATCCCATTCCCTGCCGTTCCCAGCAGCATCCATCCCATTCCATCCCATTCCCTGCCGTTCCCAGCGGTGTCCCTGCCGTTCCCTAACCGTCCCACGCCGCTCCGTGCCGTTCCCAGCGGTGTCCCTGCCGTTCCCTAACCGTCCCACGCCGCTCCGTGCCGTTGCAGGCGCGCTTTGACGCCGGCGAGCTGATCACGCAGCGGGAGCTGGTGTCGCGGCAGGTCAGCGAGGACCTCACGGAGCGCGCGGCCACCTTCGGGCTCATCCTGGACGACGTGTCCCTGGTGAGCTCTGCCTCCGAGCCCGGGAGGGGATCCTGGCTGCCCGGAGCGTGGTGGGATGGACGCTTGGACGCTTGGACACGCGTGGCTGTGTTTGGAGGGACGGCGTGGTCACAGCTCGGCTGTTGTCCCCGTGACCTTGGGCAGCCCTTGGTGGCCTCTGGGTGGCCTCAGCCCTCCCTGCGCAGGGCTTTTGTCACCCCACAGGAGCTGCTGAGGGGGATGGCTTGGGCTGGAGGTGCTTTGGGATTGGGCAGCAGCTCCACAGGCACCCCTGGGAACACCAGGAGGGAAAACTCCCACTGGGACAGCAGAACATTCCCACTGGGACAGCACAAAACTCCCACTGGGACAGCAGAAAACTCCCACTGGGACAGCAGAAAATTCCCATTGGGACAGCAGAAAACTCCCACTGGGACAGCAGAACATTCCCATTGGGACAGCAGAAAATTCCCACTGCTTCCTCTGCTGAGATATCCAAGGAGGGAGCTCTGCCCTCCAGCTCCCTTCAGAAATAAAATTTACCCTGCTGGGAGCGCGGGGCTGGCAGGAAGCCCCTGCAGGAGGTGACTTTGTTTCTGCCAAAGGGGAATTTGGACACTTTGTTTCTGGAGCTTTCCCCTGGGGTCGGGTGTGGGATTGGGAGGGATTTCTTTGGGGGATCTCGGTGTCTGTCCCCATCCCGGTGTCACTGTGGCAGCAGAGCTGCTGGCAGCTGTCCCTGCTGTGACCTGGCTGGGTTTGTGCCCCCAGACCCACCTGACCTTTGGCAAGGAGTTCACGGAGGCGGTGGAGATGAAGCAGGTGGCGCAGCAGGAGGCCGAGCGGGCCCGCTTCATCGTGGAGAAGGTACCTGCTCCTTCTGGACATTTGGGACTGCCTCTGCTGTCCCCTTCCCTCTCCAGAGGTTTTTCCTTGAATAATATCCTGTCCCAGCCTCCCTGGAGTGCTGATCAGAAATGGTTTTTCCCCAACATCCAACGTAACCCCAGCTGGAGAAGGTTCCTCCTTCCACCCCACAGCTGATTGCAGCCGTGCTTGCTGTTGGCTCCTGGGTCATCCCAGGTTTCCTCCTGGGTCATCCCTGCTTGGATCCACTCTGGATCATCGCTGGGAGTCTCCAGCAGCACAGTGGGGTTTTCATCTCTTGTGTCAGCTCACGTTTCAGCTGCCTGCAGACCTCTGGGTTTGGGAGCATCCCCAGGGAGCTGCCAAACAACGGGGATCTCCGGGTGGGGTGGAAAATCACCAAAATTCAGCTTGAAATTGCCTTTTTTCCTTTTCCCACAGTAGACAAATCAGTTATTTTTTATCCCACAGTTCAGCAACCCAAAACCCTAAACCAAAACCCTTCCACCTGCCCTGGCTGGGGGAAACCCCGCGGGGCGGCGCGGCTCCGTCCGTCGGTCTGCCTGTCCACCCGTCCGTCCACTCCCGTTTCCCTGCTCTCCCCGCAGGCCGAGCAGCAGAAGAAGGCCGCTGTGATCTCCGCAGAGGGCGACTCCAAGGCCGCAGAGCTGATTGCCAACTCGCTGGCCACGGCGGGGGACGGGCTGATCGAGCTGCGCAAGCTGGAGGCGGCCGAGGACATCGCGTACCAGCTCTCGCGCTCCCGCAACATCACCTACCTGCCCTCGGGACAGTCCGTGCTGCTGCAGCTGCCCCAGTGAGCCAGCCTGCCCTGCCCTGCCAGGGAAACACCTAAAAAAAAAAAAAATCATTGCAAGTTCCTCGCGGAGGAAACGGAAATTTGGAAATTGGAGGGATTTTTTTTTTTTTTTTTGGATGGGTAATCAAATAAAAGTGAACGCTCGCGACTCCCGGCCTGCGGTTCCTCCCCTGTGCGGTCTCAGCGCTGCCTTCAGGGACTCTGAATCTGGGAGTTCAGGAAAATTGGGGAATTCAGAAAGTGAGATTTGGGAGTTGCCCCTTTCTGGGCAGGTGGAGCAGCAGGAGCAGAGTTTTCCTGGGATGTGAGTCCCTGGCCGCGGGTGCGGCATCGATCAGGGCTCAGATCTGCCTCAGTGCCTTCAGGCTGGCTGGGGCTGTCCCCACCTGCTGCCCCTGGGCTGGGACAGGGGTGCTCGGGGCCCTCAGCCATGCCAGTGCTTCCAGGTGTCACCTGAGAGCCTGGGGACACCTCAGCTCAGGGCCCTCAGCCATGCCAGTGCTTCCAGGTGTCACCTGAGAGCCTGGGGACACCCCAGCTCAGGGCAGGGCTCTGTGGGGGTGAGAGGAGCAGAGATTCCCTCTGGGGAAACCCTTCTGGGCCTGGGGATCTCCTCTCCTTGCCCCTGAGCTGTCCCTGTCCTGCCCCGTGGGCTCCTGTGCCAGCCCCTCGCTGCTCCAGGGGCAGAAATCCTCTGTGCTCTTTTTCCCAGGGAAGGGGAGTTGTGAGGAGGGTGAGATTGTGTAACCAGCCTTCAATAAATGTCACAGTCCCAAGGCTGGCACGCTGGGTCGTTGCTTTTTTTTTGTGCTGCTGTCTCAGAAGTGAGGGTTGGGCTCGGGGGGCACGGCTGCTGCTCGGGCTGGGGTGGCTGGGAAAAGTCCTGGCCAAGAGGGATCCATCCTGACACCTTCAGAGCCTGGGATCTGAGTCTGACTGGATTTCTGTCTCCAGGTAAGAGCACCTGGGGCAGCCGGGATCTGCTGGGCACTGGAATGGGAGCCTGGCCCTGCTGCAGCTGGGCTGGAGCCGCCCCAAGTGGGGCAGGGCCCAAACCCGGGATAATTCCTGCCCTGGAGCCAGCTGGAACCATCCCCGAGGTGGGGCAGGACCCAAACCCTGCCCTGGAGCGCTGGCAGCTGGGGAGAGCAGGAGATGGGGAGGAGTTTCCTCACGGCTCCCTTTGTGCTGTTTGTACCCGAGGGGATCCAGCAGAAAATGTCCTGGGAAAAACAGAGGGGTGGGGGGCAGGAATGACACGGGAAAGAGCAGGAATGACACGTGAAAGAGCAGGAATCACATCCCAGGCCAGGCTGCGACCCTCAGGGCCAGGTTTGGGCTCAGCATTCCTTGGCTGGCAGCGGGGCCCGGCTGCCCCTCCTGGAACTGTTTTCCATCAGAACTGCACAATTCCAGTGGGAGCCTCGGGAAGAGGGGCTGGGCAAGGACAGGACCCCAGTTAAACCAGGTTGTCCCTCAGCAGCCAAGGACCCTTCCTGCACTCTTTGATGCCGGTGTGAGCAGAGGTGTCCTTTTCCACAGGGACAGAAACGTCCAGCACCTGCTGTGGTGACATTTTCATTTAATGATTGCTCCAGCACGGACTTTAGAACTTCCCCTGTGGGGTATCTGTACTGTGCTTAAATTAAAAAGGCAAAAAAAAAAAAAAAATCACAAAGCCAAGGCTAGCCAAAGGGGAATTTAATTTTTTGGTGTTTTTTGTGCAGAGGCTGCTGGCTCTGATGGTGCAGTCGTGGTGGAGCTGCCAGCACTCCCCGGGTGCTGCTGGGTGTGAGCTCTGCTGCCTGGAGGCAATCAATCTTTAATTGTGCTTTTACACCGGACTGGGAAAGGGAACAGGAATTTCCTCTGCTGGAACTCCTCTGCGGTGACACTGGGCTCGGTGGTGGCTCCCAGGGCTTCCTGTGGCAGAACCCAGCAGGAAAATCCCTTTGTTCCCCTTCTGCTTCCTCCCCCGTTGCTCCAGAGCATCCTGAGCACACCTGGAGGATAAACCTGGACCTGGCTGGGCTGCACAGCTGCAGGTGCCAGCACTGTCCGTGCCTCAGTTTCCCTTTCCAGGATCCTTGAGCAGCTCCGAGGGCTCCTCTCTTTTGGGGTAGGAGAAATTCTCCCAAAGGTGTCAGGTCCTGCCCGGTGCAGGCTGTGCCCGAGGCAGAACTGGCAGCGTTTGGAGACCTCACACAGCACAGGGGGAAGGGCCAGGGCTGCTCCAGGAGGAGTTTCCCAAAAATCCTCAGAGGAGGAACAGGGATGAGGCAGAGCTGCTTCAGGAGTTTCCCAAGGATCCTCCTGTCAGGAATGGGGATGAGGAGCCCAGAGCTGCTCCAGGAGGAGTTTTCCTGAGGATCTTCCTCAGGAATGGGGATGAGGAGCCCAGAGCTCACAGCCAGGCCCCTGAGCAGCACAGCTCCCGTGGGAGCAGCACAGCTCCCGCAGCCCTGCAGGGCTGGGCACTGCCAGAACATTCCAGCCCTAAAAGCCGTGTGGGACACAGGGAGCAGGCAGAGCCCCGAGCCTGCCCAGGGCACAGCAACCTTGGGCTGGGACATGTGTGTCCCGTGAGTGAGGGGATCTGTGCCCCTGAGTGAGATCTGTGCATTTCTGAGTGAGGTCTGTTCCTCTCTGAGTCAGGAGATCTGTTCATTTCTCAGCGAGGGGATCTGTACCCCTCTGAGAGAGATCTGTTCCTCTCTGAGTGAGGAAATCTGTTAATTTCTCAGCAAGGCGATCTGTGCCCCTGAGTGAGTGAGATTTGTTCCTTTCTGAGTGAGGAGATCTGTTCATTTCTCAGTGAGATCTGTGCCCCTCTGAGAGAGATCTGTGCCCCTCTGAGTGAGATCTATTCATTTCTCAGTGAGCAGATCTGTTCATTTCTCAGTGAGCAGATCTGTTCATTTCTCAGTGAGCAGATCAGTTCATTTCTCAGTGAGCAGATCTGTGCCCCTCTGAGTGAGATCTGTTCATTTCTCTGTGAGGAGATCTATTCATTTCTCAGTGAGGAGTTCTGTTCCTCTCTGAGTGAGATCTGTTCATTTCTCAGTGAGCAGACCAGTTCATTTCTCAGTGAGGAGATCAGTTCATTTCTCAGTGAGCAGATCTGTTCATTTCTCAGTGAGGAGATCTGTGCCCCTCTGAGTGAGATCAGTTCATTTCTCAGTGAGATCTGTTAATTTCTCAGTGGGGAGATCAGTTCATTTCTCAGTGAGCAGATCAGTTCATTTCTCAGTGAGCAGATCAGTTCATTTCTCAGTGGTGAGATCTGTTCATTTCTCCGTGAGGAGATCTGTTCATTTCTCAGTGAGCAGATCATTTCTCAGTGGTGAGATCTGTTCGTTTCTCAGTGAGCACATCTGTGCCCCTCTGAGTGACCCCCTCTCCCTGCAGCCGCCGCTGATCCCCGAGCAGAGCCCCCTGCACCCCAGCAGTAACTCCAATCTGCTTCCTCAGCAAGCCCAGAGCGTCCAGGCCTGTGGAAGCCCTGCAGGTGGGTGTCAGCACGTTCTGCTGTGCCCGCAGCCCTTAGCCCAGCACATTCCCCCACTTTTGCTGTACTTTTTTCACCCTGAAAGGCCCTGAGCTGCTTGGACAAAATCTGGTTTGTAGGGGAGGCCAACGCCACCCCCAGCAGGGGCTCAGGAGGGAATGCAGATTTGTGTCACCTTTTCCTGGCACAGGAGGGGTTTTAACTCTGGTGGCACCTGGGGAGGAGGGAAATGCAGCAGAGAAGGACCCCGGAGCCAGAGCAGGGCCAGAGCTGCCCCTGATGGCAGCCAGGACCAGAGGTGACACGAGGGAACGGGGCTGACAAGGACCTGGGCTCTGGGGCAGGTCCTGCTCGAGCAGAGCTGCAGGGATTGGTTCCCCTCTCTCATCAGGGATCCAAGGAAGGGCTGGGAAGATGAGTCCCTTGTTTTCCTCACGCCAGGAACTCCAGGGTATTTGTATCTGATGCCCCTGGTGGCTGTGGCAGTGGTTGGTGGCTCTGCTCCCCCTCTGTGCTGCTTTGCTGTACGCTGTCCCTCAGCTCCCACGTTTGGAAACGGGGCTCTGCTTCTTGTGCATTCGCCTCCCAAGGCACAAAATATCCCCAAAATTCTCCTTCCTTCCCTCTCCAAGGCAGGGAATTCCAGCACACCCTCACCCAGAGTTATCCAGCAGCAGCAGCACCTGCCCCAGCACCGTTTTTCCTCCAGGAGCTGAGATGGAGCAGTGTCCAGGCACTCCAAGGTGACCAGATGACCACTTCCAGCAGAGACTGGGACAGCTCTGACCAGCCCAGGCAGCACCAGCTGCCCCAGGGCTGGGCCAGCGTGTCCCCTTCTGCTCCAGGAACAGCTGGACAAGGAGGAAAACGGGGAGCATTGTTCTGACGCTGCCCCGGGGCTTCCCCAGCCTGCCCTGCCCTTTTAACTCCCTCCTGAACTTTGCTCTGTGAGCCCCAGTCCCCGCTCGGCACGGGCAGCTCAGGTCTGGCTTTATGCTCAGGAATCCAGAGCAAGTCAAACCCTCTGGAATTTGGCATTTGTAACTCCGGGGGAGCGAGGGCGCCGAGATTTTTTGGCAGAATCTCAAACCCAGGGCCCTCCGCTGTTGGGGCGGGGGGGCATTTGCAGGTGAGGGAACAAACCCCAGGTGGAGATTGTGGATTGAAGGATTGAGGAGAGGAACACAAAGCCGAGAGGAGTCCTCGGGAAAGAGCAGCGCTGCCGAAGGGCTTGGTGCCCTTCCCCCTCTCGGTTCCTGCCGCTCTCACTAATTCCTCCACGGCTGCCAAACCCAAACCACAGCAGCGCTGTCCCCTCCTACACAGCCCCAGCAGCGGTTTTGGGGCTGTGGCCGAGGCTCGGCAGCTTCCCAGGGGAGGTGGCACCTGGAGAAGGCAGTGCCAGCCCGGCGAGGGGCAGCCGGGTGTCCCCCTGTCCCCCGCACCTGTCACCAGCTACCTGCCACAGGTGCCGCTCCTTGTCGCATGGGTGTAATCACGAAACCGCAGGCTGGAGTTAAGTGGTTATTAGCGTGTTAAGGGGAGAGGAAGGTTTGAGCAAGCGGGAGCTGGGGTTTGGCACCGACCGCTCCGGCTCCTGCAGAGAGCTCCAGGCCTGGCTGAGGGGCTCAGGGCCTCACCTGGGCTGGCTGAGGGGCTCAGGGCCTCACCTGGCCTGGCTGAGGGGCTCAGGGCCCCACCTGGGCTGGCTGAGGGGCTCAGGGCCTCACCTGGGCCTGGCTGAGGGGCTCAGGGCCCCACCTGGGCCTCACCTGGGCCTGGCTGAGGGGCTCAGGGCCCCACCTGGGCCTCACCTGGGCTGGCTGAGGGGCTCAGGGCCTCACCTGGCCTGGCTGAGGGGCTCAGGGCCCCACCTGGGCTGGCTGAGGGGCTAACCCGGGCCCGAGGGGCAGCTCCGAGGGCAGGAACGATCCCCAGCAGCCCTGAGGGCCCCGGGGCTCCGTGAGGGCTCGGCCACGGCCTGCCCGCCTCACCTCGGTGCGCTAATTAGGGCGGGCTCGCTAATGACCTGCGCGGAGCAATGGGATGGTGGGCTGAAGGGGAGCCGGGGCGCCCCCCGCTCCATCAACCCCCTCACACAACAGGCTCACCCCGCAATCACCGCACCGCACTAATCAGGGCACGGTCGCTAATTACCGGCGCGGGGTAACGAGCCCGCCTCTCCCCCCCTCCCGGTGCGCGCGCGTCCCGCGGGTGCCCCCGTTCTACCCGTGCGCGCTCCCCTTGCTCTGTGTGCGTCACCCCCCGGCCCGCCGTCATCCGTGCGCGCGCACCTGCCGTCCCCGGTGCTCTCGGCCTATGCTACGGGGTGTTTTCCCCCCTCCTCTCCCTCCCCCCCCACCACAGTACGGTCTGTTCCTTCCCCGCCTCCGCGCGCGGGCGCGCTCCCCCCTCCCCGCGCCGCCCGGCATGGACGGCGGCGGGGGCGGCCCCGAGGGCACCGGCCTGGGTGAGTGCGGGGCCGCCCGCGCGGCCGCCGAGCCCCTTCCCCCTTCCTTCCCCCCGGGCCTGGCGGCGCAGCCGAGCAGCGCTAGGCCCGGCCCGGCGGTGGGCGGCGGGGGGAGCGGGGCACGGGCGCCTCACGGCCCGGAGGGGAGCGGGGACACCGGGGGAGCCCCGGGCAGCGGGAGGAGGAGGGGGCGGGCCTCCGGGGGCTCTGCCGGGGTCGGGGGGCTCTGTGCAGGCTCCGGGGGCTCTGCCGGGGTCGGGGGGCTCTGTGCAGGCTCCGGGGGCTCTGCCGGGGTCGGGGGGCTCTGTGCAGGCTCCGGGGGCTCTGCCCCAGCTCGGGGGGCTCTGTGTCCCCTCCCCGCGGGCACGGGGCCGTGTCACCTGCCTGGGGGAAGGGAGGGAAGGTGAGTTCCCGCAGCGGAGCGGAGAGAAGGCAGCGTTCCTGCGGGACTGGGGCTGGCAGCGTCCCCTCGGCCCCTGCCCTGTCCCGGCTGGTGTCACCCGCGGGTCCCGCCCGGCTCCGGGGCCGCGGCTGGCAGCGGTGCCCGGTGCCCGGTGCCGTGCCCTGGCTGTGATTTCGGGGGGTTTCTCTCCCTCTCAGCCTCTCCCTTCAGGTGTTTTCCCCTTCCCTTGCGCTGCGTGCGCCCCGGGGTTGGGATTTTGGGCGTGATTTTTGAGCGCCTTCCGCGCAGCTTTGGGTGTCGCGGTGCAGGGCAGAGCCGGGTGGCATCTCCTGGGGTTCGCCGGAATTCCGTCGAGAGCTCTGACCGCAGGCGGGTTCGGTGGAACGGACGGAAGGGAGAAGCCCCGGAGGTGCAGGAGGGATGTGAGGAATGGGAGTTTTTATCCTCTGCGGGCAGGGGATGGGGAGATGAGGTTTGGGAAGCACCTGGGCTCTTCCCAGCTGGAAGTTCTGTTCTGTTTCTCTCCCTCGCCGCCTGAGCTGTGCTAAAAAATGTTTTGTTTTTTTTTTTAGATGGTTTTGAAAGGGCTGTGGGGTTGCCAAGTGTGATTTTCAAAGGGCTTTGTGTCTCTGCTATCTGATAATTCCCCTCGTGTTTATCAGATCTGATAATTTACCTCGGCTTGGGCGTTCTCAGCCTGCTTTTACCCCTCCGCCTCCCTGCCTGGGTGCCAGGTGCATTTCCCTGCTGCTTTTGTGGCTTTGAAGCGATCTCCTGCAGCCTGCAGGGATGCAGAGCCCCGTCCCTGCCCCGGGCAGGCAGCGCTGCAATTCCAGCTGCGATCCCAAAACCTGGCCACCAACAGGGACAGGAGTGCTGAGAGCTTTTCCAGAGGCTGTGCGAAAGAAAAGTGCGAATTCGTGAAGGTTTTTTTGGTTTTTCCAGTTGTTTTTCCGGGGCTGCCAGGGGGCTGAGGGCTGCTTTAGAATTTTGTAATTTTTATTTTCTGTGGGAGGAAGTTCAGAGCTGCAGGAATGGGGATTTGGGGCCATCCCTGGGATTATTTGTTAAAACACCTTGGGAATATCGATGTGATCAGAAGAGGCTTTGGCGTTGGAGATGATTGTGAGTTTTGAAGGGTTTAATTGACTTTATTATCTAATAATGCTGTAGGGAGCCTTTAACTGACGTTTTCAGAGGAAATCTTGCTGTGGGAAGGGAGGAAATCGGGATAAATAATCCCAAAATAGAAGATATTGAGGTGCTGTGCTCTCCTCCTCTCTGCCACAACCACGGAAACCCCGAGAGCTGCAACTTCACCTAAAAATGTGAAGTTTTTATCTCTCCAGAGACTCTTTTTGGGCTCAGAGCAGGAGACTCCCTGTGGGAACGCCTTGGGAAGGGTTCCCCGAGTTCTGAGATGGATTTTTGCAGTAAACAGGAGGAGCAGGGACGTGCCCAGAGCACACCTGAGATGGCACAGGTGGATTTCAGGTGCTTACAAAACTCCTCTCCTCACTGACCTATTTCTCTCTGCAGCTCTCAGGGGCCTGGCCAAAAAAAAAAATTTAAAAATTAAATTAAATTTATTCCTGGTTCCACAAAAAAAAAGAAAGAGGCAGAACTGCAAGGAAGCAGCAGGGAGATTTCTCTGATATTCTGTGAATAATTATTACATTAAAATACTTTATAATATATACAGTAGATAGTATTATATATAATATGTTACATATTGTCTATTCATTTATAATTTGATACAGATATGTATTATGTATTGCACATTATATACTGTATATTGTATAAATAATATAGTATAATATGTGTTGTATTCTTTAGAATTATAACATATTATATATGAGATATAAAATATAATATTTTATTTTATTATATATATATTTATATATATATATAAATATTTATAATATTTTATTTCTCTTGGTTCAATTCCTCCAGCACAGACTCTCAGCCTGCTCTGCTCTCTCCCTACAAGACCCAGGCCTTCTAAAAGAGAGATAAAGTCAATTTCTAAAGATAATTTTACTTTTCAAAAGAGCATTCATTTACATTTTGCTGAATCTGTGCTGTTTGTGCTTTCAGGATTTTATTAAGTGAGTATTTGGAGGTTTCCCCCCATAATAATGAGGGGAAAAATGTGGATTTTTCTGCAAAGTTCATTTTATTCTCATGACATTTCACCTTTTAAATATTAAAGCAGATCCAGGTGAGATCTCCCTGCTCTGTCCTGAGCTCCCTCGGAGGAATGTGGTTGAATTTTTCCAGTGTTTCCCACCAAAAACGTGGATTTTTTTAACCCGTTCCTCCCTGGATCCCAGTGCCTCATTCCCAGCTGCAAACACAAGGCCTTAAAATCCCTTCTGGCAGCTCCTGGATTGCAGCAAAATTTAAGGAATCTCTGGACCCCAAGGGGTGTTTTAGTGGGGTCTGTCACGGGTTTGATGCCTCAGAGAGCATTTTAACCAAAACCTGATTTTTTTTAACACATCCCCATAGAAACAAGGCAAATCCCATCCCAGTTTGTGCCTTTTCAGGGAGTTTCTCCAGGATTCGGGGACAGAATTCCCAACCTTCTCCCCATCAGCACAGCACAAGAGACAGACTTCCCCAAAACCCCAAACTCCCAAATTCCCGTCGTTTTCCGGCTGGTTTTGGACCTGGGATTTTGTGGGCTGCTCCTCCCTGGAAGAAAAAAAAAATTAAATAAATAAAAAGCAGGGAGTGAAACCCTGGCAGGTGCCAGCTGCAGCTCCTGCCCTTCCCGACACCCTTCCCTCGGGAGGTTTCACACTGGGACTTCTCCCAGGAATTCCCAGCAGCTTTTCCAGCACCTTCTGCTGGGCCTGCTCTCTTTGGAAGTGGGGTTTTTCCCCCTGGAAATGGGATTTTTTTCCCCCTGGAAATGGGGTTTTTTTCCCCCCTGAGATAGGATTTTTCCCCCCTGGAAATGGGGGTTTTTCCCCCTTGGAAATGGGATTTTCCCTCCCCTTGGAAATGGGATTTTTCCCCCCCCTTGGAAATGGGTTTCCCCCTTGGAAATGGGATTTTTTCCCCCCTGGAGATAGGATTTTTTTCGCCCTGGAAATGGGATCTTTCCCCCTTGGAAATGGGATTTTTTCCCCCTGGAAATGGGATTTTCCCTCCTTGGAAATGGGACTTTCCCCCTTTGGAAATGGGATCTATCCCCCTTGGAAATGGGGTTTTTTTCCCCCTGGAAATGGGATTTTTTCCCCCTTGGAAATGGGATTTTTTCCCCCTTGGAAAAGGGATTTTTCCTGCCAGGGAAATGTCCAGGTAGGAATTCCAAGGTGGCTTTGGGGCAGGATATTCACACTTCATTTACACCTCGGCATATCCAAGGACACAGAGACACCTCCGGGGCCTCTTTGAGGGGAAAAATGCTAATTTTAGGCAAGAGATCTTGATGGCAGATTTCCTTTTCGGGGCTCCCACCGTTCCTGGACCTGGGGGTCAGTGGTACTCAATGGGAAGTGCCGTAATTGAAATAAAATCTGAATAAAATCTCAGCGCAGCTTTAGTTTTCTTCAAGATACATCAACAGAGAGGGATGAAAATAAGAGGTTTTCAAGGAAAAAAGGAATTTTGGCGCCTATTTGGACAATTTTACAAATTTAAATGGTCAGAAAACCTTTTAATGAGGTCATAAAAAGCTTTTTTTTATTTAAAAATGATCAAATAATGATTTAAAAGTGACAAATTGGAAATGTGAACCAGGGAACCGTCTGTGGGTGTTTTAATCTTATTTTCAGGAGGTTTTTTTTGCATTAAAAGATGCAGGAATAGATTGGAAAACCTGGAATTTCCTAATTCAGCCACAGCTTTTTAATTTTTAGATATTTCAGGTGATGGGAAAGGGAAGGGCCTGGAGTTGTGATTTGAGGGTAAAGAACTAAAAGTTATTTTAAGGTGGTTTTTTTTCCTGCTTCAAGAAAAACATTGAGTTTGTGGCTGTTAGATCTCAAGCTCCTTTAGATTCAATAAAACACCCCTCGTTTATTGCAAAATCCGAGGGATTTTAATGCTGAATTCCCAAATGGAAACCTCTGGCACAGATTTCTCCGGAGATAATGCTTGAAAAAAATCCAGGAACCGCTGCTTGGAAAGGCTTTGTGTCTCCCAAAAAATCTGGACTCAGCCAGATGGTTCCTCTTGAAAAAATGGGAAAAGCCTGAGGCTTCTTCCTCGTGGTTTTTCAGTTTTAATGGCAGGATTTCACGGATATTTTGCTGGGATTTGGGAATCTTGATTCTCCAGGAGCCTGTGGAACGCCAGCTCCAGACAGAGGAGGGGGGGGAAAAAAAAAAAGAAAAATATTTATATATATATATGTATATATAAATGTGCTGCCTGCTGAGTCAGCAAAGTACCCAGCCCGGATTATTTTGGGAATGGCCAAAAAGCAGCGGGATGAGGTGGGAGCTGCGGGAATTCCAGGATTTATCCCCTCTTCCCAGGGTTTTATGTCCCTGCCCAGGCTCTCCTGCACCTACCATTGGTTATTTTAGGAACACTGAAGAAAAAAAGCTGGAAAATCCCTGGCATTGCGGAATTCCCAGGATTT